AGTTTAAGCTAGAGTACACGAGTGTGGACATGCCGGAGAGTCGTTAATAGTGACCAGCTCGGGCACTGTAGTGCACAATTTATGTTGGAAGCCTCGGTAACAAACCCTTAGACTGTTGTGAGAGGTGCGTACTAGCCGCCGACGATAATTCTCACGCCCTGCATTAGGATTTTTAACTTCCTATCCTCAGCAGTATGAGGGTCTGCGCGGGCGCTAAGGTGCAAAACATCCTCCACGAAGGCAGTGACGCTCTCGCTGGGGCACTGTGTCCTGAACCGAAGCAAATATTTGGTTATCATTCGTTGATCTTGGTTGACGAGGGCACGCTTCAGCTCGGTCATGCAAGCCTCTCACGACATCAAGGAGGATTCGATGTTCTTAAACAAGTGCCTGGCAGGTTGTTGCGTACCAAGCAACCAAGCTGCCGCCCACACAAACCGGGCAGCGCGAGCCATGCTCTCGAGCAAGGGCATGCGCGAGGCAGTGAGCCATTTGGAACTGATCTGGGCGCCATTCCGGTCCTGCCCGTTCTTTAGCAGTAAAGAACGTGATGAATATAACAATTGGCGACGAGCAAAGGGTGCGAACTCTACGACAATAAATCCAGGGAAGCATGGGGACTCACGGCTCCGTGGAGGAATTCTCCGGCAAGGGATGGTCGTCCTGGGCAGAGCGACTGGATTTCTACTTCCAAGCCAACGGTATCGCCGACGGCGGCAAGAAGCGCGCTATCTTGCTGACGCTATGTGGACCGAATACTTTCGAAATTGTCAAGGCATTCGTGGCACCGGGGACACCGGGCGACCACTCATTCGAAGAAATCGTCAGTCTGCTGCGTGGCAGCTACGATCCCCGCCCGTCGGAGCTGTTCAGTCGCTGCAAGTTTCAGCGCCGCCACCAACTGCCGAACGAAACAGTAGCCACCAACGTAACAGCGTTAAAAGCTCTCGCGGCAGATTGCAGCTTCGGCACGTCACAGGCCCAGCTTTCGGCCCAGCCTCCTAGGGTTCCAACGTCGGAATCCACAGGCGTGAGTGCGACTGCAACTCTTAGCGTTCTGCCCGACCTGACATCAACGATGTTGCCCATCGACGTAATGCTACGTGATCGTTTCGTCTGCGGACTGCAAGGCGACAATCTGCAACAGAGATTGTTTGCCGAACAAGACCTCACGTTCATCAAGGCATTCGATATAGCTGTGCGTGGGGAAAACGCGAAAGACTGAAATGAAAATCAAAGCTGACTTCAGCGAAGTCAACAAGACCGCGCGCGCACAAACAGCTCCACCAAAGCAGCGCAAACCCTGTTACCGCTGCCAAGAACTCCACAATCCCGAAACGTGCAAGTCACGCACCTCGAGGGGCAGGTTTTGCAAGAAAGTAGGTCACGTTGAAAAAGCCTGCTTCAAAAAGAAAAACACCAGCAGCTTATCGAAGGCAACTAGACGATTGCACGTTTCTGACTCCTCAGAAGAGCCACGCGATGTCGCGATTACGGAAGAGAGCATTTTGCATGACCTAAATGCAATGACAGGGGTGACGAAAGCACCCCGGAAATATATGGTATCGTTGAACGTACAAGGCGTGCCACTGCTATTCGAGGTGAATTCAGGGGCAGCCTATTCTATCATCAATGAAGACACGTATCGGGAATCATGGCCCCGTGACCTGCCACCGCTTTACCCCGCCAGCATTGCGCTGCGAACGTGGTCAGGAGAAGGGTTGCAGCCACTGGGGACAATTAACGTCAGCGTGCGCTTCAAGCAGCGCAGTGAAAAACTTCCTCTATTGATAATGAGCGGCCCAGGATGCAACCTCCTTGGTCCTAATTGGTTCGCCCCACTAGGCATTAGCCTCAGCGGCATTCACTAAGTACTTCACGAACAGAGCCTGGTAGTCATACTTGAACGTCACTCAGCAGTGTTTGATGGCAACCTAAATGGCTTCAAGGGACCAGCAGTCACACTAGAGTTGCCACGAAGGAGCACAACCTAAGTTCCTAAAATCACGAACGGTGCAATTCGCACTCCGGCCAGCCGTTGAAGCTGAACTACAACGTCTGACGGACCAGGAGCTGATTGAGCCCGCACAACATTTGGAATTGGGAACTCCGGTCGTCCTCGTGCGCAAAAAAGACGGTAGTATTCGACTCTGGCGATTAGCGCAGCACTGTGAACGCTGTAGCCCAAGCAGCATATTACCCGTTGCCGACTGTCACAGAGGTCTTGGCGAAACTACGCGGCGGAACAATTTTTTCATCAAGAGACCTGACACAAGCATATCAACAGCTCAAGGTCACTGACTCTACAGCCAAGTCTCTGACAATAAACACAGTCAAGGGGCTTTACCGTGTCAACCGACTGCCCTTCGTTGTTTCCGCGGCTCCAGCAATATTCCAAAGGTGCATGAACACGACTCTTGCGGGGATATCAGGTGTCACTGCATACCTGGATGATATCATCGTCGCTGAGTTCACACAGGAGGAGCACAATAATCGACTAGACATCGTTCTCTCAAAAATTGAAGATATTGGTCTTCGTGACCACAGAAAAAATTGTTTCTTTGGAGTCCCGGAAGTAACCTTCCTCGGTTTCAAGATCAACTCATGAGGCATCCATCCAACGGATCACATGTTGAAGGCGATTCGGGATCTGCCAGAACCGACTTCAGAGACGACGCTCCAGTCTTTTCTCGGGATGCTCGCCTTCTATGGCAGGTTTCTGGAAAACCGAGCAACAGTAGCGAAAGACCTGTATACCCTTCTAAAGAAGAACAGGCCGTGGAGCTGGGAGACTCCTCACAAGACAGCATTCAGAAAGCTCAAGAAACTCATCTTGCAGCGGACCACCTTGGTTCATTATGATGAGTCTAGACCTCTTCCACTCTCCTGTGATGCCTGACCGTACGGTGTTGGTGCCTTTTTGGCACAGGTTGATAGCGCAGGGCGAGAAGCTCCAATAGCGTTTGTTTCAAGGACTTTGGGAGACGCTGAGAGAAACTACTCGCAGCTGGATAAGGGGGGCCTTGCCGTTGTCTACGAAGCAATCTATTTTCATCAGTACATTGCCGGACGACATATAATCATCGACACGGATCATCAACGACTCCTCGGCATCCTGGGACCACAGAAGCCAGTACCTCAAGTGCTGTCTCCACGAATGATGCGATGGTGTGTCAAGCTGGCAGCCTACGACTGAGCTAGTGTATTGGCAGGGAAGGAGACACCAGAACGCCGACGCGTTAAGTCGCCTTCCCTTACATGACAGTGAGGACGAACCCTGTCCGCCCGGAGACGTGCTGATGATCGAGGCGCTGCCGGTCTCGCCGCTCACGGCGAAAAGAATCTCAAAAATGACACTCCAAGTGTCATTGCCCAATGCGGTCAAGAGGACTGACCGTAGGCAGCAATTTTCGGAGCTCCTCCAGGACGACCAAGCAGATAACCTCACGGATGTCCCGGGAACGACGTCTGGATGTTGTTGGTGATAGGAGGCGCGTGCTTAGAGGGCGCGCTCCGTGTTCGTTGCCTCCGTTTCAAGCGCTTCGACTGTTGCCGGCGGGTTGCGGACGAGGCCTCCGAAGATGTCGTCCCTCACCCCGGGCATGAGGACACGCAGCATCTTATCGTCGGTGTGATTGTGGGATGGCAGACACGCTCCGCCGCAGGGCGTCGTCAACGAAGCTGGTGACGCTTTCGTTGGTGCCTAGCGTCCTCGTACAATGGAGGTCCACGGATCTCTACCTTCGGTGCTGACTGGCAAACGTCCGTCGGAGCTCCCCTTTCAGCTAGGCACATGAGTTAATCGAGGTTTCATAATGCTCGAACAAGTGTCGCGTCGTGCCCTTGAAGGAAAAAAAGACGTTTTGTAGACGCTGTTCTGGAGTCTATTGGTTGTGCAGCGCCACCCATTCGTATTGCTGCAACCAATCTTCGACGTCTTTGTAGGTCTCGCCGTGGAAGGGTGTTGGCGTACGAGGAGCGACGGGCAGGTAAGCAACTGGGGAGACAGTGGCAAGAGTCTCTGTTTGCAGGCCCCGGGAGGCTATAGTTGGTTTCGTCGAGATCTTTCTCAAGAAGTCTGGTAGAAGTCCGAATTTTGAGGGTTGATCCTTGCTGCGGCGGCTTCCTCGGGTCTCGGTTGTTTCCACAGAAGGCCTTCTTGAGCCTGGGACTGGGCTTGCGCTGCGAGGCCTCGGAGGGATACGTTTAATGGGCTTCGGTACCCCGCACCTCCACCAGACATGTCACGAACGAAGGTGACGAGAGGACGAAGAGTGAACTGAAAATAAAGGTTTAATCGGCAAACTTGTGCCAAACAAAATAAAGAACGACCGTCAAGGCAGCAGAAAGCGGGCGGCGATTTGGCGGCGTAACAGCAAGCGAGAACGAGACTGACTCGAAAAGGTCGCAGTTAGCTGCTTATCTACTGTGCGTAACTATCTCGAAAGTTCGGTGAAGAAGGTTCAAGTGGTCGCGCTTGGGGTGAAAATCAACCGGCACTTTCGAGAACAAGAAAGCAGAATAAAAGTTACGTGCGGAGCAAGAATAAACGCGAATCTTCGAGAAGTCCATGACCGAGCGTTGAGCGTTGCTTTTTCGGCCTTGCGGGCGGCAGTATTGTTATCAATCACACATATATGTTTGTGTGTACATACATTAATTTGTATCAAAAGTATTGTCGACACCAATTATGCAAGACATTCTTTTTTTTAATATCTAATAAACTCTTCTACTAATTCTTATGCAAAACCTGTCTTGACCTACGAGTGAGTGGCAAAACTGCCATAATTCAATCACGAGACGGGTAAAATTGAAAGTAGAAGGACGTTGTATAATCTAAATTTTAGACCGCATGGACACCATCATGCCAAAATATATCCACATTTCGTCAATAACCAACCTGTTTGTTATAAAAATTACAGTTTTTTGATGATTTAAGGAAAAAAATGTAAAAAAATATATATATATTGTCTCTAAAAATGTGTTTCTACTTTTTTCAGCAATTTAGATGAAGACTGCAAGAAAGTGAATTCAAAGAACAAACCTTACGATGCACACACCAAAGTGCTCCCTGGGACCAATATGAGCTCAATTGATTATTGCAAACTCAAACATCCAAATTTTTGTAACATCACCGCAAAAGAGGTATGATTGACTATATTAGTCAACGACAAAAGGAGAACGGCACGACGTCTCTTTCAGACAACCGCTTTACAGCATGCGCTCGTTCAATCTCGCTGCGTTTTGACTAGCCGTGAACGCTTGAGGTACACTAAACTTCGAATTGTTATACAAGCTGGGAAGCTTGCGCTGAGGGCGGGACTACCAAAGCCCCTCCCTGCCGTCCTGATATTCTCCGAGGATTCGGAATAATAATTGCTGCAGTACCTGGATCTTACGCTTACATAACGGTTGTGTTTTGTGTCTTACCCTAGGACAGTATGGTAGAAAGTAACGCCGCAAGGGTAGCGGATCACTTTTTTTGTAACGGTCACTTACTTTTATGGAAATGTAATTGTAAATGTAATTAGTTACAATTTAGCCCTGAGTAATTTTTATTGTAATTCCTTGTTTTTTTTAGTAACACGTGCAAATCTGCTCTGAAGTAAGAATTACAAATTTAAAAGTTTATATTTATCATGTAGGTTATGGCCAAAATTAAGATTTTCTGCTCAAAACCAATACTATGTGAAACATCTAATCTCAGAAATTCCTAATGATAATATTGCAATCCTTTTTTGTACTAATCCAGGGAACTCAGTATCAAATGGAGAAATATCAAAACTTGAGTAGTGTGTGCATTAATTTGAAACATTCGTTCACCTTTCGCACAGGATCAAATGAACAAATGCATAATCGAATGCTGCCCTGGTGGTAGGGTTAGGTGCTCTTATTACAGAAAGTTACCGGAAAACCTCTGCAAAATTGGATGGGTAAGTGCCATTTACGTCGCAATCAGCATCAGTTTCATAGAACTGGAGGTAAAATTATTTCTGTTAAAGCTTGCGTCAGCTTTTATGCCACACGAATGCAACGAGTTTATTTATTGGAACACGGTAGTTTAACCCAAGAAAATGACAAGGTGTATCTGACTGAGCTGCCGCTTTTAAAGGTACTATCGGCTTGTGCTGAAACATATATATATATATATATATATGTATCTCACGGTCTTTTTATGGTTAGGCATCATTCCTTTGTAAATATGGAATTTCTATATAAAACATGGAAATTTAAAACTCGTTGTTGGCCTGCTTGATTTCGTAACTCAATTTTTACGATACTTTGGTTACCAGGACATGAACAAGGACCAAGGCTGCCCCTTCAAATGCTGCTATCGAGAGAAGTTCAAGTGTTTTACAGAAACCGCAATAGATGGAATGTCGTGCGGGAACGAAATGGTAAGTGCGGACGACGCTGCAAGCAACTCTCGTTCTATACAGCTTTAAGCCGAATGAGCCGTTTTCAAAGGTTTCGTGTAATTTGTGACACGCGATAGCTCAATGCCCCCTTACATTGCTTTTTCAATATAGTGTCCTCAGCCCAAGTGATTTTTTGTTATGGGGTCGATTAAGTCATGAAAAACGGTGGTTTAATGGATCGCGAATTTTTTACGTCAAATATGAATGGAACGTTGTTCTCTATTTCGCTAAGAATACGTGCTAGTTTATGCCATACCTGACATACTTTTGCTTTATTATTGTCACGCACGACCTAAGCAACGCAGGTGTGACTTCTTCTGTACAGGTTTCTTGCGTCGTGAATTGTTCTTGCGCGCGGAAATCGGCTAATGCTGCATTCTTATTAGTTCCGGAGCAAGGATATAATGATCGGCACACGCGCTGCGTTTGTTAAGCCGTCAGTGACTCATTCAGGAAAACAAGAAAGAAGGGTCCTCTTTTAGTATCGAATTTTGCTGCGCAAATCACGTCCCTGAACCCTTGATCTCACGTGCTTCTTTTCTCAGTATTACGTTGGCCCTTTTCCACTTAGTAAGTTTTATCATTACGTTTGATTCATAGTGTCGTTTTTGTGAACCTTTATTCGGTGTAGATGAATGATACGCATATGCTATACCTATGAAGATCAATAATTACATCTAAAGAGATAGTCACCTAAAGTAACAGTCTCTCGTGACGTCACGGTGTCATGAAACGTTGTGGGTTTGCGTGCTCTGATCTCGCGTAACGTCTCAGTAGCAAATTATTTCATAAGGTCGGTGATGAATGCACCTGACGTCATTGTATCACGGGACGTCATAAAGTCGCGTTACACCACAAGGTCATGGAGTTTACATGTCGCGGAAACAAACTTCATGAGGCCGGCTCTTTAAATGCTACAAATCAAGGAGGAAAATGTTTCATTAGTTATTTAGTGGAAGGTAAGTGTTTATCTTGGCTAAATTGAGCTAACTGACAAAATAAACAGAAGGCTATACCAAGTATTTTATTTGTCACTTCTCGTTTAAGTTTTGACACAATGATTTTCTTTTCGTATGCGTGCATGGGAGTGCACCAAAACAAACACCGGTGCACCAAAATGAATCACCAGAATGTTGGCTCAAATTATTGCGATGAGGACGGTTATTGATTCTAGGTCATTGAACGTAGTATAGAGTGCGGATCTCAGTGATTGCAGAAAATATATATGTGAAGACAAGGTGGTAGGGTCGAAAGTTCCGCTAGGTAACCTACATATTATTTATGTTACTATTTACAACTGATAATTAGCCACTTATTGCACTTACTAAAACAAAATATCAGTAATATTTAAAAACATACCTTATTTGCTCAGCGAGGGGAACATTTTCGCTGATGCACAAATATTTTTTTTCTCAATAAGCATATTATTTTTATTTCAACGAGTGATTTTACTCTTGCCACCCGAGAGTAGTTTAGCTGACTTTCTTTTGGGTTAACTTATCCTTATTGGACAATAAACGCAAATTCTATATGTGCACTTTGAAGCCCAAAATACGACTCAATGTATTCCAAATCAGAAACGAAACTGTGATATTTCGCCAACTTTAATTAAAAAGTGACATTTTGACTAGTTTTCACGGGTTGAAATAGACAACGCGCGAAAGCTACGAACAAAAACTAGAATAGAAATGTCCTTGTAGCAATTAGAAAACAATTATTTCAGTTTCAGTTTTCGCCTGCTTCACTTTTAGCACGAAGAACTCATCAAATGGAAAACAACTATACGAGACAGAAATAATTAGTACGCTTAAAATAGTTTACTCCAGTTGTCTAGTTTGATGCCATTTTCTCTCTGCAGATGTGTTTCAGGGGCAAGTGTATTCCGCGTTGTGACCCTTTCAAGAAAAAGGAAACGTCAAGCGCGCCTGCAACCGAAGAAATATCAATGAAGGCCCCATGAAAACAGCAGTCAGGGTGGTTTCCAGTGGCGTAACCACAGGAGGGGGGGGGGGGGGGGGATCCAGGGTCGAAACACTCCCGAAATTTGAACGTTTCTCTCTTTCCTCCTTTCCCCTTTCGGTTATCAGTTTGTGTGCGTGTGTGAGTCTGTATGTTTTGTTGTTTTATCACGGCAATAAAAACCATATGCGTTTGTATTTTTGTTCGACAATCCACTACGGCGAGGGGTCGGGCCCACAACATTCTAAAGCAAATCGAAGATGACAATACTGTCCATGGAATGCTCAAAAAACGCAAGTCCGGCTCCGGCTCCCGAAGAGCTTTCGCCAAACTCGGCCGTGTAACCGTAGCATTTCTTCAGGCTCGCAGGTCCGAATGGCTCAGCTCCCGACGTCACAAAAGCCGCAAAACGCTGACCTCGAAGGACGCTGGCCTCGCCTCAGAGAATGCAGGCGCCTCGACTTAAGTCCCCCTACCCTTTGAGTCTCAAGAACTTCACTACAATCTCAGGGCAGCAAACCCCACAATGAAAACAGGACTACGAAATGACAAACAGCTTAGCGATTTTTTTTTCGTCCCGTCTTTCCTTTTTTCTAGAGTTTACTAGAGTGCCTTCATGTGCGCTTCGCATAGAGTGATGCCAACTGCCTGTTTCTCTTTCCCACACCCTCTTCCACCGCCATTTTGTTTCTCTCATTGTTTCGCCGTGCGCCGGAAAATGGCCTTTGCGTCCATCGGTAATCCCATCCGAGGGGGAAAATGCTAATCCTCCCTCCGTGGGTTCCAAAACGCTGCTCCGAACTTCTGAGATAAGGTGCTTGTTTCCGGAAGGGTTATAAGCCCCACGGATTATCGCCGAGGAACAAAATGGCTGCTGGTTTGTCGGCGAGTGGTATTACAAAGGGTGGCATCACCCTAGCAAAGCGCACATGAAGGCTCCCTAGAGTTTACTATAGTCAGTTACAGGTTAAGAAGGTAGCGGCAAATGCCCCTCAAAGGGAATCAGATATCCCTCCGCCACCTCCGCATCCAATAGCGTTCCACGGTTTCCGTGACGTCGCGGCCAACGCGCGAGGTGGGTCTTGCCCTTCTGTACATATTTGCTTTATCTTTCGACTTTGACTTAGCATTGTGGAAGCCACGGGAGGGAGATTAGAGTTCTCCCCCACCGACGGAAACAAATACGACTTTCGGAGATTAGCTCCCCCCCCCCCCCCCCCCCCCCCCCCCCCCCCCCCCCCCCCCCCGATGGACACAAAGGCTGCTTTCAGGGGCTCGGTTCCCTCTACGATGAATACAAAGGTCGCTTTCTTAAAAAGTGGGATCGGAGACAAGTGGGAATCCATTGAAGCGGAACAAGGAGCGTTTCCAGGGAACTCTTCTTTCGACTGCGGAGAGATTTGAAACAGGCGCATCACACTTGTGGGAGGAGCTTCTCCTACCTTCTTGACTTGTAACCGACTATAGCCTGTACTCCTTTACTTTCAGTAATACACGAACCAAAATAAATATAAAAACATCCCCTTAATAAAAAAAACAGCGAGAGATAAAAGTGGCAGCATAAGTATTGTGGAAGCAACTTTGGAATGCTTATTGTCACTATGTTTCAAAACGCACCTAGTTGACTTTTTTAATTGCCGCAGTGGGTAATGTTTTGAATCTTCCGTTCAGCACGTTAGTCGTGAAAGTATTGAGTTCAATAGCCAAGCTGTCAGTTGACGTTTTTTTCAAGAATGATTGTTGACCTACAACTTCAACCGTGTCATCAAGGTCTCCAACAGAGTCGGCCAATTTACGTCTGACAGCATCGTTCTCCCCAGGCAGAGCGATGGTGTGGCCGATTACGTCGGTCTCTATCACGCAATCCTCGGTTTTGGGCAAATCACCAGCCTGTTCGGAGCATTCCTTTCGTTAAATAAACTGACTGGGGAAGCTCTGGTTTGGAGACAGATGTGGAAGAACCTCACCGCTTAGGGTGTCTCAGCGGTACAGGCAACTTGTTTTTGCACGGAGGCCTTGTATCCTGATCTAAACCGCCTGCTGCAAACCCTGTCCACAATGCCCGTTAGCACCGCTGAAGCGGAACTTTCGTTCTCGAGACTGCGAAGATTCAAATCGTACCTGAGAGCTTTAACGTCCCTGGAGTGCTTGTTAGGGGTTGCGCTTCTAAACAGTTACCGGAACCTCCAAGTCAGCCCCGAAAGTATCCTCTCCATTCTTTCTAGCGACCGACGGCGGCTTCCACTAAATGTTTAGACCACACAAATTATAGACACTTTTACTTTTCTCTGCCCCTTTCTCGTAAAACGACATCGACGAACGGAAAGAACCTAAAGCATGACCATAGCATGATAATTTCTGAAACATGTGATCCGCGCAGGAACAGTGAGGGTGACGCTTCACTTGCTCAATGCCCCACTTCACCTTGGAGTGTTTATTTTTACTCGTATTCTAAACTTCGTTGCTCTCTTGCACTCATCCGTAGTTTTGTAGCGACTGGATACCCGAGTGTTCTGCGGAGAAATGTATGTTCCAGATGATTTTGTGAGCCTCTCTGGACTTTTTTTTTATGAAAGCCCAATATTACTTTTTATGGTTGCGTTTTTCCGTTCTTCACCAACAAAGTATCCCGCTTTAAAGATTAAACAAAAGAGAAGTGGGAAAAAAAGGTTGAATTTTTGTCTTCGAAGAAACAGAAAAAGAAATGAACTAAAATTGAGTTTGTGAAATTTATTTTATTCTCGCTTGTTTTTCTTTTTTTAGCCTTTTGAACGGTTTCAGAAAAAAAAAATCCTGAAAACATTTACTTGCTAAGACTGGTGCTTTCTTTACAATTCGACCAAACTTGAAGGAAATTTTTATAGTAGTATGTGGTGGTCGTATCACTCCGATGAACAAATTGGTCTGTTAGAATATCTGGAGTGAAACAGTTTACCACAAAAAAATCCGATTTAACAGAATGTAAAGAGTGTCAAAAACTCAATTTAATTGTTTTCTCAATTTTGGACACTGTTTCAAGATTATATCTAATATATTTAAGTAGTTAACATGTTTTTTTACGATGAGTGTAACAAACCATTTTTTTGTATAAAACAATAAATTTTAGGTTTTAATTTTTTGAATATCGAATACGCTACATGGCGCGATTTCGCCTTCAATTTAAATTGCGCTAGTACCGACAAGTGAAATATAATCAGATGAAACACGTATCACTGCAGAGCTACTATTGTACGCTATCTAGTGGTGTAACTTTTTTTTTTGTATTGTTTGTGAAATAAATTCATCTAGCTCCATACATGTTAGAATTCTAATTTTTTTAGATATATGAAACGATTTTCTTAAGAACGCTACTGTGTTATTTTCTTGACTTCTTTACTTCATAGCCCATAAGAACTAGAAATGCTTAATATAAGTCTTGCGTGTAGCATTTTGGTTTTATTTAGGGTACAACCAGTTAAATCAGCCAAGTTCAGTATGTCACCCAATTCTTGGTTAAACTAGGCTGAAGTCATCTCAAGGCTACACTGTGGCTTATTATTAACAAATGTTTTTGGAAGCTACTTTACCTCACTTATTAGAAGTTATATATGCTCGTAGCAACTCCTGGAATATCAGGGGCATGTTAGGGGTGCTTAAACAAACGATCTATGTTAACAGGAATACCACCAGCCGTCTGAGAGCGAGGCGACCCAGACATTGTGTTTCCAGATCTGGCTGGCGGGTGTTCGTTTGTTAACAATCGCTGCAGCACAGTGTGACATGAGAAAAGCTTAATTTAAAAGTAAACATTAGGAAATCATTCATGAAGCAGCTCACTACCTATCCCCAGCAATATGCAGAAGTGTCAAAAACATCTTGGTGATGGTGTGACAATTATGTTTGCCTGTTATGAAATCACGGATTAATAGTTTTTGCACGAACTTCAGCTGTTTGGACTACGCAGAACATATATTATTTTGCTAATAAGCTTACATAGATCAGATATTCGAGCTAACAAAAAAGGCAAAAAGTCTCTTAATGTATCACACAATAAAGAAAGCTCATTTAAACAGCCCCTGAAAATAAAATATTTCTTCTTTAACAGACTGTTTGGATCACGCAAAAGTCGAGAAATAAATCTTACGCGAAAAAAAATGTTTTAGAGCAATATTGACGATGAGAGATTTATTTAAAATTTTGTGTGCAAAGTCTTTGACGTCGCTGAAGGTCCATTTGCTCTTTTGAAATGAACGAGATGGTCTTTCGCTTTTTCCACCGCAACGTGAAGGAGAAGCCAATCTACCTCCCCTCCACCCGCCCGAAATGCCGAGAGAGAAAACTAGCATAATGGAGGTGAGTACCGACTAAATCGCGTCTCGCGCCGTCAATATTGCTCTAAAAAACTTTTTTTTTCGTGTAAAATTTTTTGTTTTGTTACTCGTGTCCCAACCAGACTGTTTTAAAATATTTTCCTTTTATTTCCAGGGCTCTTTAACGAGTAATGTAGCCGCGTTCCTAAAACACGCAAATATAAAGGTGGATAAATATCCGCAATACTACCCCGTGTGTTCACTCAGAGGAATTTACGAAAAAGTGTATTGTTTGCCTAGACAGTTTACAAAGCTACATATTTGCACTTGTTATCGTACGAGAAACTATAGAGACACTAAGCTACCGATTATGCAGTCCGCCGAAGACGGACTTTTTCGTTTTCAAGCTGTCATACTTGTCAGAAGCGGAGGCCTTTTTGAGACTCTGACGCACATCCGGCTCTCTTTGGTCTTGCGGAAACCCATCATGCAGACATTTACACGTTACTGAAAAAAGCAAGCAATTACGTTTACAAATACACAAGGCCTAATTTTAACTAGTTGCTGTTCAATACTTTTACATTTAAGTAAGTCGCCGCTATCACAAAAAGTAATCCGTTACTTTCGGGGATTTACTTTCTGCCTTACTGTCCTATGGTAAGACACAAGACACAAGCGTGTTATGTAGGTGTTTATTGTTGCCACCAGTCCC